TTGTTTAGGTAATTCCTAAAATCAAATGTTTGTGATCATCTCACCGTGGCAACATGAGAGAGAAAAAACATAAAGTACTTGAATATTGGGGGATTTTCTCTTGGTAAAATAAAAGTAACATTTAAATTAGTTAATTAATTTTTGAGACAGAGTCTCACTCTGTAGCCCATGCTAGAGTGCAGTGGTGCGATCTTGGCTCACTGCAACCTCTGCCTCCCAGGTTCAAGCGATTATCCTGCCTCAGCCTCCCAAGTAGCTGGGATTACAGGCATCCACCACCATGCCCAGCTAATTTTTTGAATTTTTAGTAGAGATGGGGTTTTGCCATGTTGGCCAGGCTGGTGTTGACCTCCTGACCTCAGGTAATCCACCCGTGTCAGCCTCCCAAAGTGCTGGATTACAGGTGTGAGCCACTGCACCCTGTCTTATTTTATTTTTTGAGACAGAGTCTCGCTTATTCACCCAGGCTGTAGTACAGTGGCACAATCTCAGTTCATTGCAACCTCCACCTCCTATGTTCAAGCAATTCTCCTACCTCAGCCTCCTGAGTAGCTGGGACTACAGGCATGCACCACGCCTGCCTGATTTTTTTGTATTTTTAGTAGAGATGAGGTTTCACCACGTTGGTCAGGCTGGTCTTGAACTTCTGACCTCAAGCGATCTGCCCACCTCGGCCTCCCAAAGTGCCGGGACTATAGGCATGAGCCACTTTGCCTGGCCAGTAAAAGTAACATTTTTTTTTTCAGATGGAGTTTCGCTCATTTTGCCCAGACTGGAGTGCAGTGGTGCAATCTCGGCTCACTGCAACCTCTACCTCCTGGGTTCAAGCTATTCTCTTGCCTCAGCCTCCTGAGTAGCTGGGATTACAGGCATGTGCCACCAAGTCCAGCATTTTTTTTTTTTTTCAAGGTGAAGTTTCACTCTTGTTGCCCAGGTTGGGAATGCAATGGCGCAATCTCGGCTCACCACAACCTCCGCCTCCCAGGTTCAAGAGATTCTCTTGCCTCACCCTCCATAGTAGTTGGGATTACAGGCATGTGCCACCACACTTGGCTAATTTTGTATTATTAGTAGAGACAGGGTTTCTCCATGTTGGTCAGGCTGGTCTCGAACTCCTGACTTCAGGTGATCCATCCGCCTCGGCCTCCCAATGTGCTGGGATTACAGGTGTGAGCCACTGCACCCGGCCTAGGCTAATTTTTTTTTTTTTTTTTTTTTTGTATTTTTAGTAGAGACAGGGTTTCACCACGTTTGTCAGGCTAGTTGCGAACTCCTGACCTCAGGTGATCCACCCGCCTTGGCCTCCCAAAGTGCTGGGATTATAGGCATGAGCCATTGTGCCTGGCCAAAGTAACGTTTTAAATAGCAATAACGTTTGAATTTTTTTTTTTTTTTTGGTTCACACTTCACATTAGGTATGGTCACAGTGGCTCATGCCTGTAATCCCAGCACTTTGGGAGGCCGAGTTAGGTGGATCTCTTGATTTCAGGAGTTCGAGTTCAGCCTGGGCAACATGGTAAAACCCTGTCTCTATTTTAAAAATACAAAAAATTAACAGGGTGTGGTGGCAAGCACCTGTAGTCCCAGCTACTCAGGAGCCTGAGGTGGGAGGATTGCTTGAACCTGAGAGGCAGAAGTTGCAGTGAGCCAAGGTGGCATCACTCTACTGCAGCCTGGGTGACAGAGCCCTCATCTAAAAACAAACAAAACACCAAACAAACAAAATAACTTCACATTAAACAGAAAATCATTTTGTACGGATCAGTGAAACCTGACCAAAATAATGCTATGATTTCCAAAGTAGAATAAATCAGCTGAGCTAAACCCAATTAGACTCTGATAACTAAGAAGAACTGAGTCACAGGAGTAATAAAGCTAGTGAGATTCGAAAAAACCTCTTCCCTCTCATGATACATCCTTGTGAGGGAGAGATTGGTGAGCAATGAGAAATGTTTCCATTCTGATGGACACTTGTGGTGGCAAAGCACTATAAGCATCAGCACCATGGGCATAAATTGTAAAACTTGTCTCAGAGTTGTTAAGATAATTAAATGTTAATATTTGCAAAGAAATCTAAACAGTGTCTGGCATGCAGTGACTGTGGTATTGTATGAGTACTTGTCAAGTAAAAAAATAAGGGATGGAATTGCAACCATATCCCTTAGATTGCGGGTCCCCAACCCCAGGGCCGTGGGTTAGTACCAGTTCGTGGCCTGTTAGGAACCCGGCTGCACAGCAGGAGGTGAGTGGGGTATGCGGGGAGCGAGCATTACCACCTGAGCTCTGTCTCCCGTGAGATCAGCGGCAGCAGTAACAATTCTTATAGGAGGTCGGGCATGGTGACTCACATCTGTAATCCCAGCACTTTGGGAGGCCGAGGCGGGTGGATCACCTGAGGCCAGGAGTTTAAGACCAGCCTGGCCAACATGGCAAAATCCCCACCTCTACTAAAAATACAAAAATTAGCTGGTCGTGATAGCACATGCCTGTAGTTCCAGCTGCTTAAGAGGCTGAGGCAGGAGAATCACTTGAACCCAAGAGGCGGAGGTTGCAGGGAGCCGAGGTTGCGCCACTGACTTCAACCTGGGTGACAGAGCGAGACTTGTCTCAAACAAACAAACAAACAAACAAACAAAATTCTCATCGGAGTGTGAACCCTGTTGTGAACTGCGCATGCGAGGGATTGCAGGCTCCTTATGAGAATCTAATGCCTGATGATCTGAGGTGGAACAGTTTCATCCCAAACCAACCCCACCCTACTAGGGGTTTTGCCATGTTGGCCAGGCTGGTTCTGAACTCCTGGCCTCCAGTGATACGCCAACCTCAGCCCCCCAAAGTGCTGGGATTACAGGTATACGCCACCACGCCTGGCCTTCCCCTACTATTTTCATTCCTCTGCAAAATCTCAACCTCTTTCCTTGTTTTCAAAAAAGAACGTTAAGACCGGGTACAGTGGCTCAGCCTGTAATCCCAGCACTTTGGGTGATGGAGGTAGGAGGATTGCTTGAAGCCAGGAGTTTGAGACCAGCCTGGGCAACATAGTGAGACCTCCCCTCTGAAATAAATAAACAATTAATTAAAACAACAGAAATAATATTTACTAGCCTTTATTTTCAAAAATATAAACTCACTATAGGAATTAAGCACATTCCTTTTGTGGACCATTTGGATTAAATCCTCTCTGTGGGCAGAGATCACTTTTTATATTTTTCTTGTTCCCCCAATAAGCCTACCATAATACCAATACTCAGATATTTCATGGAACATGTAACAAACCAAACACACTGGACATACTTGAGATAAAATAAAAATCTAAACTAAAAGTTATATGTATTAATTTATTTCCTTATTTTCATGTAGCATCCTGTTAAGATGCCCTTAGAAGCTCTTCTCATACTTTAATTGCATGTTTGAATTTGGCCTACATTTGTTCCATGAACAAAACAGTATATTGCAACTTGTAAAATGAAAAAGGTAAAATAAAAATAATGAAATATTGTAAAATGAAGAAGGCTCTGACAAAATTTTAAGAACTCATCAGTTCTTAAAAAAGGATGCTTTTGTCATTCTTTGAGAAATGCAACTCCATATTATATTTAGTTTATTTGGAATAGCTATGTCCTTAACTGGTAGTCAATACTCAAACATCACCAAATTATTAAATTTTTTAATTAAAAATTTTAAAAAATTATATTTGCACATATGAAGATAAGTAAGACACTGGACAAATTATAGAGTCTCAGGCTTATGTGGAATTATGACTGCTCTCAACAATTACTGAAATTCCCTTTCAAAGCAAATCTTCACATAAACCTATGTTTGACTATGTAGTAGAATGAAGACAGCCACCGATCTGGCATTTTCAAAACATCACACGAGTACTACATGTAATGCTTCAAAGTAACTGTTTTCCTCTAAAATTTCACTAAACAACCTCAGGCAGTAAAATAAAACAAAACATTAAGAGCTCCCAGTGGTCATCCTAAGAATTAGACAGATTTCTTTGATTTTTTCTTCTCTGCTTCTTCCTTTTCCTTTTCTATTTCAGTTACGTATAATTCAACTTCTTTTGCACTAAACATCTGAAAAGAGAAAAAAATTTAAAGATCAAAGGTCAATTATACAAATAATATCTAAATATTTACAATATGAAGAATTCCAATATTTAATAAATTTATATTTTCTATGTATAACTTTATATTTTGTAACTTCAAATATACAATGAAGCATTTTAAAAGGTCTAAGAGCAATAACAATTACGGGCAAAGCCAGATCTCTGACATTTCTACTATCACTGTGCTAAAAAAGAAAGTGGGGCAAAAAGCAATACTGCATTATATTCCTATATGTGCATGTAGCTCCAAAAACATTTTAATGCGAGGCTTAATTTTATTCATGAACAAAGACTCATTTAACTCTCCAAACCGCACCCTACTGTGTGATTCTCTGATAGGGTTTAATGATTTGATCAGTTTATAGAATAGCCAAATGAGATGGGAAAAGATAATTTACGCTACTTTATGTCCTGTAAGTAGAAAGCAAAAAAGGTTTTATTTTTGTAAGAATTTGCAGTGTAGTTTGATTTTCTGTTGTACTGTTCACAAGTAGATCCAAGGTTACATGCTTGTGGCTATAAGACAGCAATTATTGGCCAGGCCTGGTGGCTTATTCCTGTAATCCCAGCACTTTGGGAGGCCAAGTTGGGCGGATCACTTGAGGTCAGGGGTTCGACACCAGGTTGCCAATTTCTTTGTCTTTTTTTTTTTTTTCAGACAGGGTCTCTCCCTGTCGCCCCGGCTGGACTGCAGTGATGTGATTGCAACCTCTGCCTGTCGGGTTCAAGCGATTCTCCCACCTCAGTCTCCTGAGTAGCTGGGACTACAGGTGTGTGTCACCACTCTTGGCTAATTTTTGTATTTTTAGTAGATAGATTTGCATTTTCAGTACAGACGGGGTTTTGCCATGTTGACCAGGCTGGTCTTGAACTCCTGACCTCAAATGATCTGCCCGCCTCAGCCTCCCAAAGTGCTGGGATTATAGGCCTGAGCCACCACACCTGGCCAAGACAGCAATTATTAACTTCAGTGAATACAAAAATCTAAATGTAATGATCTTAATACCAAAAAGAGGTATCTATTAAATTGATAAATGATCAACTTCATGGAAAGGCAAGTTTTCAAAGATGTTGGAGATGTGAAGGATTTTAGTAATTAGTCCATCACTAGAATTTATATATAAGAAAATGTAGATTCACAAAGCTGAATTATATTTGACCAAAGATTAAAGAAGGATTAAAGATTGTCTCTGATTCTTATTTCAACTCCAGAACTCTTTCCATTTCACCTATAAAGATGTGTGTCAGAAAATCTGTATTTGTCAATAATCTACATAAAATATCTTAATTGAACGTTTTATGAAATGAACGTTTATGAAATGAATTTACCCATCAAGCAATTACTGGGAGTTCCATGGGTTCTGAAAGTAAAGTGGAAGAATATAATTCTTACCTGCTATTAAGGAGTTCACAGTTTAGTGGAAAAAAACTGGCATATAAATATATCATTACAATAAAAACCTGAATAAAGTGGTGTGGTATTACTTGGGGAAGAAATAATTTCCTCCTTTGAAAAAGCATCTTTCATTTTATTTTTCCTTTTTGAGACAGGGTCTTGCTCTGTTGCCTGATGCTGAAGTACAGCGGCATGATCACAGCTCACTGCAACCTCTGCCACCCGGGCTCAAGCGATCCTACCGCCTCAGCAGCTGGAGTAGCTGGGGCTACAGGTGTGAACCACCACACCTGGCTAACTTTTGTATTTTTCATAGAGACAGGGTTTCGCCATGTTGCCCAGGCTGGTCTCAAACTCCTGGGCTCAATCAACTTGCCTGTCTCGGCCTCCCAAAGTGCTGGGATTACAGGCACGAGCCACTGCACCTAGCCTGAAAAAGCCTTTTCAAAAAATTATTTTTCATTTTTTGAGTATATAGTAGGTATATATATTATGGGGTACATGAGATATTTTGATACAGGCATGCGATGCATAATAACCACATCATGGAGAATGGGGGGTATCTATCCCCTCAAGCATTTATCCTTTGTGTTACAAACAATCTGATTATACTCTTTTAGTTATCTTCAAATGTACAATTAAATTGTTATTGACTATAGTTACCCTGTTGTGCTATCAAATACTAGGTCTTATAAATTCTATTTTTTTGTACCTATTAACCATCCCCACCTGCCCCTGCCCCCCACTACCCTTTCCAGCCTCTAGTAACCATCCTTCTACTCTGTATCTCCATGAGTTCAATTGTTTTGATTTTTAGATTCCACAAATGAGTGAAAACATGCAATGTCTTTCTGTGCCTGCCTTATTTAACATAATGATCTCCACTTCCATCCATGTTATTGCAAATGACAGGATCTCATTATTTTTTTGTGGCAGAACAGTACTTCATTGTGTATAAGTACCACATTGTCTTCATACATTCATCTGTTGATGGACCCTAAGGTTGCTTCCAAATCTTGGCTATTGTGAACAGTTCTGCAATTAGCATGGGAGTGTAGCTATTTCTTCAATATACCGATTTCCTTTCTTTTGGGTATATACCCAGTAGTGGATTGCTGGACCATATGGTACTTTTATTTTATGTTTTTTGAGGAATCTCCAAACTATTATTCTTCATAGTGGTTGTACTAATTTACATTCCCACCAACAGTGTATGAGGGATCCCTTTTCTCCACATCCTTGCCAGCATTTGCTATAGCTTGTCTATTAGATATAAGCCATTTTAACTGGGGTGAGATGATATTTTATTGTAGTTTTGATTTGCATTTCTCTGATGATCAATGCTGTTTATCACCTTTTTTTTTTTTTGGAGATGGGGTCTTGCTCTGTTGCCCAGGATGGAGTACAGTGACACAACTGTGGCTCACTGCAGCCTCGACCTTCCAGGTTCAAGTGATCCTCCCACCTCAGCGTCCCAAGTAGGTGGGAGCACAGGAGCACGCCACCACACCAGGCTAATTTTTAAATTATTATATTTATAGAGACAAGGTCTCATTGTGTTGTCCAGGCTGGTCTGAAACTCCAAGGCTCAAGGGATCCTCCCGCCTTGGCCTCCCAAAGTGCTGGGATTACAAGCAAGAGTTCAGCCCAAGGACCTTTTTATATGCCTGTTTGCCATTTGCATGTCTTCTTTTGAGAAAAGTCTATTCAAATCCTTTGCCCATTTTTTGATCAGATTATTGTTTTTTCTCTTATAGAGTTGTTTGAGCTCCTTATACATTCTGGTTATTAAAGCCTTGTCAGAGGGTAAATTTGCAAATATTTTCTCCCATTCTGTGGGCTATCACCTCACTTTGTTGATTGTTTGCTTTGCTGTGCAGAAGTTCTTTAACTTGATGTGATCCTATTTGTCCATTTTTGCTTTGGTTGCTTGTGTTTGTAGGGTACTACCCAAGAATTTTTTGCCCAGACCAATGTCCTGGGGATTTTCTCCAATGTTTTCTTGTAGTGGTTTTATAGATTGAGGTCACAGGCTTAAGTCTTTAATCCATTCTTATTTGATTTTTGTATATGGTGAGAGATAGGGGTCTAGTTTCATTCTTCTGCATATAGATATCCAGTTTTCCCAGCACCCTTTATTGAAGAGACTTTTTCCCAGTGTATGTTCTTAGCACCTCTGTCGAAAATGAGTGCACTATAGATACGTAGATTTGTTTCTGGGTTCTCTATTTTGTTTAATTAATCTATGTGTCTGTCTTTATGCCAGAACCATGCTGTTCTGGATACCATAGCTCTGTAGCATAATTTGAAGTCAGGCAATATGATTTCTTCAGTTTTGTGCTTTTTGCTTAGGGCAGCTTTGAGCTTTGGCTCTTCTGGGTCTTTTGAGGTTCTATATAGATTTTATTTTATTTTTTATATTTCTGTGAAGAATATCATTGGTATTTTGGTAGGGATTGCATTGAATCTGTAGATTACTTTGGGTAGTATGGACATTTTAAAAGCATTGATTCTTTCAATCCATGAACATGGAACACCTATTTTTTTTTTTTTTTTGGTGTCCTTTCTTTTTTGATGTGTGCACTTATAGCTATAAACCTCCTTCTTAGTAATGCTTTCACTGTATTCCATATGTTTTGATACGTTAGGTTTTCATTATCATTTGTTTCAAGAAAATGTTCAATTTTCTTCTTAATTTCTTCATTGACTCACTGGTCATTCAGGAGCATATTGTTTAATTTCCATGTATTTGTATAGTTTCCAAAATTCCTCTAGTTATTGATTTCTAGTTTTTTTTCCCCACTGTGGTCAGAGAAGATGCTTGATATTATTTCAATTTTTTAAATATTTTAAGGCTTATTTTGTGACCTAAATATGGTCTGTCCTTGAAAATGATCCATGTGCTGAGGAGAAGAATGCATATTCTGCAGCCGTTGGATGAAATGCTCTGTGAGTATCTATTAGATACATTTGGTCTACAGTGCAGTTTAAGGCTGATGTTTCTGTGCTGATTTTCTGTCTGGAAGATCTGTTCAATGCTGAAAATGGGGTGTTGAAGTCTCTAGCTATTATTGTATTGGAATCTATCTGTCTTTTTAGCTCTAATAATGTTTATTTTATGTATCTAGGTTCTACAGTGTTGGGTGCACATATATTTAAGACTGTTATATCTTCCTGCTGAACTGACCCCTTTATCATTATATAGTGACCTTCTTTGTCTCTTCTTATAGTTTTTGTCTTGAAATCTATTTTTTCTGATATAAGTATAGCGACTCTGACTCTTTTTTGGTTTCCATTGGCATGAAATATCTTTTTCCATCTCTTTATTTTCAGTCTATGGTTATCTTTATAGGTGAAGTATGTTTTTCATAGTCAACAGATCATTGGGTCTTTTTTTTTTTTTAATCCATTCAGTCGTTCTATATCTTTTGATTGGAGAGTTTAGTTCACTTACATTCAATGTTATTATTGATAAATAAGGACTTATCCTCCTGCCTCAGTCTCCCAAAATGCTGGCATTCCAGGTGTGAGCCACTGCTCAGATCTCACTTTTTTTGAAGCAGCATCTTACT